ATCTTTCATAAAAAGTTTGATGATAGATCTCTTGGATATACTCCCTATTTTGATGAGAGAATATTTTAGACTTAAGAAAATAAGAAATAAGCTCAACAAATATTTAATAATATTTTTTTTTATTTTTTCCCATTAGATTATTACATAAACCTTAGAAAAAATTAAGACAATAAATTTAAATATACCTTCTTTAGTTATTATAGAAAAACCTTTAACGATAGCCCTCTTGGATATATTCCCTCCTTTGATACAATGAAATTCTTTTAAATTAAAATAAACTAAAAAATATTTAATAATAGCTATTTGATATTTATTAATTTTTTATTTGATAATTACAAATGCTTAAAAAAGTTTAAAATATGATAAAATACAGATTTGACTTTTTTAATCAGTAGATTCGTTTTAAGACAAATTATGTANATTGTTATTGGTTGTGCTATGGTAGCTTACCCATATTTGTTTGTGTTGTGGTTGTGTGTGTGTGTGTTTTGCGATGATCATATGACATTTGGTTATACGAGAGCATAGGATTTTACAGATGCTCTAGATGCATGATAGAGATGCGAGTGTTGGAAGACGACTTGGGTTATTTAAATCTGTTGTGCTAGAAATTTTAGAAACACTGTAATTGGGTTTACTTTATTTCGTTTTGATTTTATTAACTTTGGTATTATATAAGTTGATTTCCGTAATGATATTATGTTTTTTAAAGTTTTAAAATTTTTCTCATAATCGAGACATCCCAAAAATCGAGATGTTATAGAAACAACTATCAAGAATTTCTCCCTTTTGTCTCCCTTTTCTCTAGCTTTCTCTCTGCATACATCATCTTTTTTAAAATTATAATTGCACCATAATGAAATTAAGGTGTTAAGGAGCATTTTGAACTGATCAAATTTCAAAACAAGGTAAGTTTTTATTTACTTTATAAAGTCATCTTTTTCTAATGTTTATGTTGTTTTATCCATCAATTTCAATGGGATCAGTTGAGAGAAGTGGTCATCTTAGCTTGATTTACCATATATTGAATTTTTGTGTTATTTGGACACTTTGTAATAGGTCTCTAATTAGGGATTGCTTAATCTAGTGAGTTGTGTGCCTTTACTTTTTGGAAAAAACTATTTTGAGGTAAGGAAACTTATTATTTTTATAAGTTCAATTCTTAATCTGCTTTAGTTGGATTAAAATATTTCTTAGTAGGTATGTGCTATGTTGATACAAATGATTTGTTGTACTTGTATTTTATGTGTGAAATCTTGTGACTAAAATGGTTATGTGAAATAAGAATGAGTTAGAGATTTTTATGAATTGTGTGATGAATGGATATATGTTGGTTAATTTGTAAAATATTGAAGTTACGTGTGATTGGATTGTGAAATTTGTGGTTGTTGGAGTTAATGATTATGTGTAACTAATGGTAGCATTTGTAACAATGAAGGAATTCGAAAGTTTTAGCATATAGAGTTGTTTTGTATCGTCTTAAAAATTATGAAGTCTTTATAATTAACGTTGGCTTGAATATTTCATTCATTTGAGTTGGGATATTCATTGGTAGGCTAGTGTTATCTATGATTATTTTGAACCAAAAATAAGAGTCTTTTGGTACTACAAAATAGTTAAATTGCTCTAATAAAACTAATAAATTGATTATATACTTCATATCAGGTGGAGAAATCTCTGCATTAATGTTGGGTTGTGCATTAATACGGTTGAAGCCATTAGTAAATTGAATTCCAATGAGTTCCAAGGATCTCAGCGCTTGGCACTATACAAGTACCATTGGATGTTTCCTAGAATTTCAATTTTAGGGAGCTCCAAGGGTATTGGGTGTTGGGTGCCGACCTCGTTGGGTGAGACCTAAAATTAGCTGGAGGAATCTCTTCTGCTTGGTTTTCGCTGAGCGCACATATATTATTGTTAAGCAGGGCTTGCTCATGGAGCGAACTCGCTGGGTGAGAATGGATGAGGTTGGGTGGAAAACTAGTGTGAAACATTTTGTAAAAGTTTCTTGAATGATAATAATGGAAATATGAAAACTTTATGAATATGGTTTTAAATGTTGAAATATAATGAATACATTGAAGAATGATGATTTTGTGGTAAGGGTAAATGTTATATTGCTTAGAGATTAAGTTTTTTTTTACCATACAATTGTTGGGATATTTGTTCTACTCTTATATGTGGATATGTGATATGAATGGGAAAGGAAGAATGAGGTACCAATAGTGAGGGTGATGATTTCCTGAGTTCGTTTAGGTTGTGATTGAAAAATGTAGCTAACCGTGAATTATATGAATGTGGTTAATTTTATGAAGAATTGCTCAATTGTATGATGTTAGAGTATGTATTGAATGGGAATCCCGATTATGAAGTCATCATAATTCTACTAAACTCATGCTCTTATAGAGAATAAAGTTTAGGTGGTGAGAGTTGAAAGAAGTTCTTATGTGGAATTTGACATGAGAGAGCACATTTTTTGCTAGGCTATAGTTAACTAATCTTGTCATGGGAATTTTAGACTTGGTAAATCAGGATCAGTTGCAACATTATACTATGAGATTACATGACAAGTATCGAACTTAATGTGCATTTAACTCCAATTAGTGTCTTAATTAATAAAAATTGTTGATTAAATGATGATTATTTAATTAAAACATAAATAATGTAATACGAAATTCACGATATAACTTTATAAAACTAAATAAGTTTATAATGTGTTTTTGTTGTGTTATGGTTAGTCCACCTCCTATAATTGTATACCATACATGAACTAAGTTAATAAAAATAGGAAAGATAAGTAACAGTACCAATTGTGAAAGTATCTATAAAAATAGTGAATACTGTATAATGAATAATTATAACTTAATATATAAACTTTACATTGTACAATGTAAGTAAAAGTTTTGAATTATAATATTTTATCGAAAATTATAAATATATATTATATTGTCTGATTTTTGTTTAATACTAAATTTGTAATGTGATCTATTTAATTCGAGTGTTAGAGTTACGTTATTTTTAACCTAATAAATATATATATATATATATATATATATATATATATATATATATATATTATTAAACTACGTGATAAAAAATACGGACATACCGACACAATGAATATAATATCTTTCTTTCTTATTATTATTATAAAATTTTAGTTTAAAAATACTCTCTACCTAAATTTATATTATTCTATAAAAAATCAATTTATAGAATATTATTTGCTTATGACGTAGAAACTTCAATTATTTTAGTTTTTTTATGTATAGAGAGACGGTCCAATTAGTTTGTGCATGTGGGTGGAAGCCACATCCAATTTTATAATTGTGGGAATCAACAAATATTCATTAAGCTGTGTGCCAAAGGAATAATCCATTACATCCTAGGTTTGCCCAACCTTTTCATTCCACTTTATGTTTTAGTCTAAAATTTATGATTAAGATTAATTTAAATGATTTTATTTTTTATATATGATTAATGTAGCTGTCAACCATTAACAAATTATGCCAGAAATAATTTTAAGATATTAATATGAATTTAATAAACTTATGCATAATGATAATGATAATAATAATTTTTTGAAAGAGCGTAAAAGCTTTTGTTTTTTCTTCTAATTTATTAAATTCTTCATTGATTTAAATTTACACTTTAACTATATTTTCATTTTAAATTATATTTGAGAAAGTATAGAATTCTTTTAGTAAACGAATAATTATAAAACATTAAAGATAATCATTTTAAATATAGTTTTGTTTTTGTTATTTATAAAATCTTTCATAAAAAGTTTGATGATAGATCTCTTGGATATACTCCCTATTTTGATGAGAGAATATTTTAGACTTAAGAAAATAAGAAATAAGCTCAACAAATATTTAATAATATTTTTTTTTATTTTTTCCCATTAGATTATTACATAAACCTTAGAAAAAATTAAGACAATAAATTTAAATATACCTTCTTTAGTTATTATAGAAAAACCTTTAACGATAGCCCTCTTGGATATATTCCCTCCTTTGATACAATGAAATTCTTTTAAATTAAAATAAACTAAAAAATATTTAATAATAGCTATTTGATATTTATTAATTTTTTATTTGATAATTACAAATGCTTAAAAAAGTTTAAAATATGATAAAATACAGATTTGACTTTTTTAATCAGTAGATTCGTTTTAAGACAAATTATGTAAGGGTATCAATTATTTCTTTCCATATAATTAACTCTCGAATCTAAACCTATACTTTATTTTCTGTTGATTGAGGTATGAGAGAAAAACGTTAAGAATATAAGGTAAGTTACTGGTGTAACTTTTTTATGTGTAAAAAATCTTTGATTATTTTAATGTAAAACTAGTGATATCTAATTAGAATAAATACAATTTATTATAATGTTAAAAAGAAAAGAAAAAAAAATAGAATATTCATATAATTTGTAAAGTTACAACAAATGATATCAATATCATTCCATTTTACTTAGGAGAAATATAATTCTATGAAGAATTAAAAAAAATGTAAGAAAGAAAGAAAGAAACTGTATTTCACGGACATCCCATTTGTCAAACATATACATAATGATTTTTTTCTGAAAGAGACAACGACACCAAATGTAGCCTCAAAAAAATAGATATTTTTTTTTTCATTCAATTTCCCAATAATAATAAATTTACTAAAATGAGAGAAGCAAAGAGAAATATATCATATGTGACAAAAAATAGTTTGAATTTCAAAAGGAAAGGCATTTCTTTATTGTTATGATTATTTATGAATGATCAAGAGTTAACGTTATGCATGTTCTTTTAAAAGTTCTATGTTCTTACATGTTTTAATGTTTTAGAATAATTATTATAAATGCAGATTGTAGAATAATTAAATTTGAGAGGAAGAATAAAATTTTACGACCATTTAAAATTTGAGTTATTATTAATCTAGGTTGTAATTAATTCCAATATTTTAATTCTATAAATTGTGTCTACATGAACTTTATCAAAGGTAATGTCTGGGTGGTAACTTTTGCAGGAAAAGAAGAGAAAAAAAATAGCAGAAGACTTTGGTGGCGAAGGTTTTAGTATGTTTGGAGAAGAAATGTAGAAAGAGAGAATCTGGGTGCTGTGCGCGTTGATTGTTGTTGTTGAATTCAAATTTGGCTTCTTTTCTTTTTTTCTCACCACACTTGTTATAAAGACCAACCAATTTCTCTCCTTCTTCTCATCTACTTTCTTACTGCTTCGTTTTGCCTCTCATTAACACAACAACATAGTCAATAGAATCTCTGTTTTCTTCTTGCTTCCGACTTCATTCATTAATGGCTCACCATACCTCATCAGGTTTTGTTATCTTTCTTCCCTCACTCTTTTTCTCTGCCCACATTTTTGTTTTTTTATGTTCTTGTATTGTAATTGTTGATACTTTGTTATTTTTTTACCTGGGTTGGAGCTAGAATTTTAAGATAAAGATTGTTTCTTTGGGGTTTAATGGATGGTGGGTCTTGCTCTTTTGGGGTTTGTTGAACTGAATAATATGAAGACCTTTGTTGAGTGTGTCGGTCTGAATGTTTGAATCAGCTGGTTGGAACTGTGCATGGTTATTGTGAATGATTATTAACTCCTCTGGGGTGTGATTTTCATTAATAAGGACAGAATCATAATGGTGTGGTCTTTCTGTACTCACTGCTGATGTTAGCATTTGTGTGGTGTTCTACTCTGCAGACTGTAGTTTATATATTTGAAATTCTTTTTTGTTTGGGGTTAAGTAAGGTTATATATTGCAATTGTCGTTGTAGTTTACCTGCCAATATTTGGTATGGCGGAAAATTGCAGATATATGTGACTGATGCAGTCACAATTTTGGTGATGATGTCGTCGCTGAGTGTCCAAAACCCCTAAACATCATGTCCTAGATCCTTGTTATTGCGTGAAATTTGTGTATAAATGTGGCTGATGGGGTTGCAATTGTTGTCACATGGCTGTCAGGAAGAGACCAAAATCCTTAACATCTGACGGTAGTCCAAGTTGCAGGACCACTTTGTAAAATCTCAGGGTTAAGATATATATATTTCTTTTGTCATGTATGCATTGGGAGCTGAAATGGGTACCTGGAAAGTACATAATGTATACCAATGATGTACTTGAAAATGGGTGCTTATAACTAAGTAATATTCAAATTTAAAATACCATCTAATCTTTGTGAATTTTGGTAATGGGGGAGGAAGTGCCTATAACACAACAGAGCACATGGTTTACAGTTTGCAGCGTAAGAAAGGAAGATCAAGTTATCATCATATTGGGAAGATGAAAATATATTTTTTGAAAGTTTTGGCCCTGCTGACCTAATTATGGCTGATCTTGAAGTGTTTTATTTTTTACTTTTTTTTCTATGAAGTCACATTGTAAGTAATGAAAAGTGACGACAAAACATGGTTCATGTGGGTCTGAAGATCATGCTTGTGTGCAGATCATTCCAATGATCTCAGAAAAGAAGACTGCAAGGAAACAGGTTCACTGGTTGTTTGCTTTGGGGAAATGTTAATAGACTTTGTTCCGACTGTGGGAGGAGTATCGCTGGCTGAAGCACCTGCTTTCAAGAAAGCTCCTGGTGGAGCTCCTGCCAATGTAGCTGTTGGTATCTCTAGATTGGGAGGTTCATCTGCTTTTATTGGCAAGGTGTAGTTCTCATTTCTCAATCAGTGCTGCCTGGTACTGTACATTATATGATTTCCTTACTTTCCTGTTGCTATCTATCTGCACATTGTCCTAGGGTATTTTGTCCAACTCTAAATTGTTATACATAGTTGTCATATGCTATGTTTGAAACTGAATAGTTCTGAAGAAATTTGTTCCTGCACACCTGTTCTTAGCAGGGAAATGATTGCTTGAACTTCTAGAATAAAAATCACATCTGAAGTGCTTTTTCAATTTTCCATTTGTTTATTAGGTTGGAGCAGATGAATTTGGGTACATGCTGGCAGATATTTTAAAGCAAAACAATGTTGAGACTTCTGGCATGCGGTTTGACTCTAATGCAAGAACTGCATTAGCTTTTGTTACACTTAGAGCAGATGGTGAACGTGAATTCTTGTTTTTTCGCAATCCAAGTGCTGATATGCTCCTTCAAGAATCAGAACTTGATAAAAATCTTCTAAAGCAGGTGTGTGGAATATCTGTTTGTGTATTTTATGAATGTTTTCCTTTAGGCCTTTCATCTGAAGTCAGGATATTCATAACGTTGATTTCAGGCTAGAATATTCCATTATGGCTCCATCAGCTTGATTGATGAGCCATGCAAGTCAGCTCACCTTGCTGCTATGAGAATTGCCAAAAACTCTGGTTGCATTCTCTCTTATGATCCAAATTTGAGATTGGCTCTATGGCCTTCAGCAGATGCTGCTCGGAAAAGCATAATGGATATATGGGATCAGGCTGATGTCACAAAGGTATACACATTTGACCAAGATATTCTTATATGACTCTACTATACTGTTTAGTTTTGAAAAATAAGAATTCTATTATTTTCCTTAAAATTGAGTTGACATGGCGTTTTCCTATGTATATATGTACAGATAAGTGAGGATGAAATTACATTTTTGACTGGAGGTGATGATCCTTATGACGATAATGTTGTTTTGAAGAAACTTTTTCATCCAAATCTCAAGCTTTTAATCGTTACTGAAGGGTCACAAGGTTGCAGATATTACACCAAAGTATGCTTACCAAATCCATTTAATTATAATGTCTCATTGGAAGCACGATTTCTCTTTTTATCTTTGCTTTGTTTTCTACAGTAGTAAACAAATATCATGTCCCTTGAACTGATAAGTTATGAACTGAATTAATTACCGTGAGTTCTAATAGCTAGTGAAAACTGATATGAAGATTTCTTTTTAGGACTTAACCAAGCTTTCTTTTTTGGCCCTCATGAGTTCTTCAGCTAATTATCATTGCCAAAATTTCTGTGCAGGCATTTAAGGGTAGGATTGCAGGTGTTAAAGTCAAACCTGTAGACACAACTGGTGCTGGAGATGCATTTGTTAGTGGGATTTTATACAGTATAGCTTCTGATCAAACTATTTTTCAGGTAATTTTGAATTTTGACTTGTTCTGGTTGTGTAGATTAAGCCTTATATCATTATAATGTTTTATTGTTCTTGTAATTTCTTCTTCTGCTCTTGTTTGATAGGCCTAAATTTGAACAGTGTGATGAGAATTAGCTATATGATGTCTGTAAATGGGAAAGTCATGATTGTTCTTGCATAGAAATTTATACATTTTGGTTTGATTGGCAGGATGAGAAACGTCTTAGAAAGGCTTTATATTTTGCCAATATATGTGGTGCACTCACTGTGACTGGGAGAGGTGCAATTCCTGCACTTCCTACAAAGGAAGCTATCTTGCAATTCTTACTAGAAGCAGCTGTAATATAACAAAATTCACATCTTTTTGTTATAATTTGTTGTTAATCTACAGCATAGGTGATGCTGAGCTTCTTTTTTCCTTTTTCTGTTTAAATCTCTTGACTCTGTAATTCTCTTATATAAATTCAAGATGCCTTTTGCTCTGGTTTGGGTAGGTGTGTCAGCTGATATTAGTAATATATTCTCTAATTTTCAACACACTTATTAATGAAATTCACGTGGGTTTACTAATTTCGGAATGAAATCCTCCAAATAAGCTGTTAGTTTTCACTGAGGTCTTGGCTTTCCCAAATTTTGTATTATATATATATATATATATATATATATATATATATATATAT